GTACATTGTTATGTGTACAAAGTTTACAATATACAAATGTTTTCAGTCAGCAGGTTGACAGTTTTAGGAGCTGCTTGACTAAAACTCTCTAGTTCTCCTCCTCATCCTCTTTGACCAAAAATCAACATCCAACATCCATAAGCTTTCTGCTTACAGGTCAAATATTTTTTATTTAAATAAGAGTATACTACATGACCTTATTAAAGTTACAGTTTACTGTTCTTAGGACTGAAGACTTTATGAGGAAAGAGGTTTTAAAACATCTTTTCTATCATTTTGATGTTTTCAACTAAGGGGCTTTGATATGTTTATTTTAAAAACATAGCAGAGGAAGCTCTCTGCATAGAAAAAAAATTTTTTTTACTGTTTTTTTTAACCAAACCGACAAGTTTCTCCAGTAAAATGATTGTGTAATTTAAAGGCATTGAAACACCTGGTTAAATTTAGAAAGATATTATGATTAACTACAAACACCTGAAGCTGACTCAGAGAACTCTGTGATTTTAGAAAAAAATATAAGTCAAACGTAAAGACGTCTTTAAAAGAGCGTCCCTCTCCCTCCCCGCACGGCTGCAGTCCACTTGCACCTCCACCCCACCCGCGTGTGAATAAAAATGATTTTTTGCACAAATTACAGATTTTTGATGCTCATTATACAAGTAACCGTCTGAATGGTTGACATGTGGACTCTGAAGTCCCGGGCTGGTCGGAGCCACACTGCAGGTGAACAGGTGCAGCAGCTGCAGTCAAACTGCCTCTCAGCCCTCACTTTAAAAACAGTCAGCTGATCTGTCGTGATTTTGTTGTGCTCGTGAACACACAGTGTTACAGGAGAAATGCTGCGAGGTGTTTTTAGAAATAAAATATATATAAAATACRATGTAGTCCTCGGTGGAAAATAATTCAGTAAACGCTGAAGGCTTTCCCGGGGGGTGTTCACTGTCCTGAGCTGAGGGAAACTGACCCCCCACCCACAGAGAAAGGGAAAAAAGGCAACGCACAGACAGCATGACCAGCCCTGCTCTGTTCTCATTGGGTAAAACCTTGACTTTGGTTCTCTTTATTGGGTGAAAGARCTGTCAGTTTAAGCCCTACACGGCTTCAACAAGTTTTTTTTCTCTCGTTCATTTTTACAACGACTAACACCCGCGAAGRAAAACTTAAATCCAGGTCTTTTTTTCTTGGTTGTTCACCAGACCACTGGGAGGCAGGATCTGGTTGTCCGAAACGAAAATAGGTTGTCTCGGACAAACTAAACAGTGATTCTGTCAACCCCTGTTTTACATTGAAAAAAAAAAAAAAAAGAACCCAACAACTTCATTCCAAAGGTGCGCTACAATCAATTACATGTAGGGGAAACCCTGTCATGTAATGACTCATGTTCCACAGACAATTACATTTTATAAGAGTTTTGGTCCAAAGGAAGATTTTTGTACTCATGACTATCAAATTGAACATCTGACTGTGACATTTCATTTCCTATGATTTTATGTATTAAAAAAATCTACTATCTACTTTTTCTCAAAAACTAACAAACCGGCTTTCTAATACCACTAATATCTTGTAGATTATTTTGTTGCATGTCAAACAGAATCAATTTCTTCTGCTTACTTCCTTCTAACTTATATTTATTCATATTGTATTTTTCAAATGTGTGTGCTACTTGCCTTTGGTCAGCCTACACACAGTCTGCTCATATATGAACATAAAATTGGTTGGTTCAACCACTAAACAAAACCATTTAGACCATATTCATTCCCTATGTGATTAAAAAAAAGAAGAATACTTTATATAAGAAATTGCAACCTGGTTTTTAAAATGTGTGGAACAAGTTTTTCCTCCAAGCAGTTTATAGAATTCAATATCTATTTTTGCACAATGATTTTGTGAAGAAATGTCAATCATTTTCAGTCAGAGGTGAAGGCAAATAGTTGCTGTGAATGACCATTTTCACAGACAACTGCAGGGATGTTGGCTTGCTCTGAAGGAAGTCTCATCCTGAAAGTAGCTTAACCATTGTATGCTTTTGCCAGTCATACACAGCTGGGCCAAAAGGGTCACCACCTGAATGTTACTAAGTAAATAGTTTTGAAAAAGTACTGCACATATGACTATACATTTCAGCAGGCAACAAGTTTTTTTTTTTTAACCAAAACTGATAGTGACTGCCTTCTCATTTCTTAAAAACAACCAGTACACATACTGTTTATACAGTGAGGAAAAAAAATATTTGAACACTGCAAAATGGCAAGTTCTCCCACTTAGAAATCACGGAGGGGTCTGGAATGTTCATCTTAGGTGCTTGTCCACTGTGAGAGACATAATCTAAAAAAACAAAACAAAAAAAAAATCTGGAAATCACAATGATTGATTTTTTTTATAATTTATTTGTGTGTTACTAC